TGGCCTGTACTGTACACACGCACACTTACACAGACACAAAAACAGACAAGGCTCCTAACTCTCTGCTCTTTGTGTCTCTGTCGCCCGCCATGTCTAGCTCTGCATCTAACTTTCTTTCTCTGTATATCTTCTGATTTGCATGGCTGATTATAAAGTTAAAGTTAAAGTCCCACTGATTGTCACACACCTGAGTGTGTGAAATTTGTTCTCCGCATTTGACCCATCCCCTGAGGGAGCGGTGAGCAGCAGTGGTGCCGCGCTCTGTGCTTTCAGGTTTGTGGTTCTCTATAACATCTTGCCAAAGGACTGCAGTTGCGAATTAGCTGGCTGGCTAAAACTGGCACATTTACAGTAACACTGTTGATTCATGTGTACTTTCCTTTTGTAAACAAAATAAACTGAAACTGAACTCCAGCTACTCCACAACCAGCCATATTACAACTTAGAAAAAAGAATAAAATGAATAAATAATTTAATTGCATTCATTAATTATACATGTACCTTCAAGTAATATCCATGCTTACAGTAGATCAATCTGTTGGATATACAAAAATTCACAGAAATATGGGATGATATAAGAATTATATAAAATAAAACAGTGATATAAAAGGGGAAAAAATCAGAAACAAGAACAGGATGTTTGTAAATGGATTAGTAATTATGCTTTAAAAATGTGAAAAGAAGTAATAGACCTAAGCTGGCATGGAAGATTGTTCCAATCAGACGGAGCTTTGAATTGAAATGCACGACGACTGGATTCTTTGTATATTCTGGGAGTTAGGAAAAAGAGGTGATCAGTGTGCCTTAGATTGTACTGTCTACTGTAAGGAATTAGAAATTGTTTCAAGTATGAGCGAAAATTAAAGTGAATGCATTTATAAATAAATAATAACCAATGAAAATATCTTAGGGCTTTTGGAGTTAGCCAATTCAGAGACTCGTAAAGAATACAGTGATGAGTTCTATAAGAACATCTCAGTAGTAGACCTGTAGTGTAAAACAATTAATGGAACGATACAATAATTTCAAACAACAGTAGATTTTCTTTGTAATTGAATCAATATGAGGTTTAAAAGATAATTGAGAGTCAAGCCAGAGGCCCAGATATTTAAATTCATCAACTTTTTCCAATGGTGCTAAATCAAGAAAATTTAAGGACCAATCTTTAGTTAAGGGATCAGATCAAGTACTAAATATCATGCTGTAAGATTTTTTCTTATTCAGGAGACGCTTGTTTCATGAGAACCATTTTTGAACAAAATTAAAATTGGATTGTAAGGAGTGTTGAGTTTGTGAAATTTCAGGTTTGGAAGAGTAAATAACGGTGTCATCAGCATAAATATGAATTTGACAGTCGGAACAGATTTGTGGAAGATCGTTAATAAAAACGGAAAATAATGGAGGGCCCAAGGATGAGCCTTGAGGCACACCTTTAACTATGGACTTGAAGTCCGACTGAGTGCCCTGAAAAGAGACACACTGGCTTCTGTAATGAAGAAAAGAATTAAAAAATAAAATGGATTCAGTTGAGAGACCAATAGCATGCAGCTTGCCTAAGAGGAGATAGTGATCAGCCATATCGAAGGCTTTTGATAGATCATTGAATATGGCACCAGTTGGTATGTTATTGTCAAAAGAGGATAATATGTCATTAGTGAATTTTGTAAGAGCAGTGGTCGTCGAGAAATAGGGTCGAAAACCAGATTGTTGTGGAGATAAAATATTGTAATCATTAAGATATTTGGATAATTGATTAAAAATAAGTTTTTCAAATATTTTTGCAATACTATTAATAATTGAGATGGGTCTATAGTTGTTAATATCTTGGGGATCACCACCTTTAGGTAGATGGGTTACTCTGGCGTATTTCCAAGATGAGGGAGTTTCACAGGTAATCAGAGATAAATTAAACACATCAGACAAAGGAAATGATAGGACATGGGAAACCAATTTAAAGAATTTAACCGACCACAACTGCTCCCAGAGGTTATACCTTCAATGACCTGTTGAACCTCAGTTGGGGTGATAGTTCTAAAGGAGAATGAACTGCTGCACCTATCATTAGTCGAGGTGAAATAAAAGTAATGATTAGGAGAAAGAGAATTGCCAATTGATGAGAAATGCTGACTAAAGGCCTCTGCAATTAATAATGATTCACTAACACTTTAATCGTTGATTCTAATATGAGTAGTGTTTTTTTTGTAGATTTATTAGTTACACTGTTAATTATCTTCCAGAATTGTTTTGGGTTATTAAAATTGGTAGTTAGACAGTCTTTATAGTAATTGGAGTTAGCATTTATTGTTTTAGTTGTACATTTATTCCTCAAATCTTTATAGGCATTCCAATCAGAGACATCCTTTGTTGCTCAATATTTTTTCCGAGCCTTGTCTCTTTGTTTGAATAAAGTAATAAGATCTGCTTTGATCCACAGTAAATGTCTACCCTTGACTCTAATTGTTGACCAAGGTGCATATTTATTTATAACCTCAACAAACTCAGTGTAAAAGAAATGCCACGCATCTTCAACATGTGGTATTAACTGAAACCTCTCCCAGTTTATGTTTAAAATGTCATGAATAAAGAGTTCAGAGTACTATTATTAGTGTTCCTTACTTTGATAAATTTAGGAGGAAGATGAGGCATTTTTATCCTCCAAACACAAAAAACAATGGAGTGGTCACTAAAAGAATCAGGTAATACACCAGATTGAATAATTGTATCAGGATGAGTGACTAGGATCAAATCAAGCAAGGAAGCAGAACTAGAACACACTCTGGTGGGTTCAGTTATGAGTTGTGTAAGGTTTATACTGTTGTAGAGATTGCGATCATTGCGAGAGGAGCGGTCTAGCCAGTTAGAATTAAAATCACCTAAGAGAATTTTCTCACTTGTGTGGTCTAAAGAGAGTCTAAAGAGGTAGACAAGATACAATTGATGGATTCTGTAGGAGAATTAGTAGGTCTGTAAGAATTTCCAATAATTAATCTTTTGTCCTCATGAAAAATGATTTTAACAAAAAGACATTCAAAATACAAAGGATTCTCAGCAAGCTCCTTATATTCAAGTGAACAACTTGCAGACCTTTAACTGAATTCATTATTCAAATGAAACAGATGAATATCCAACCATTATGACAGCAGAGATGTACATAAGTATACCAACATTTGTAAGCAACATCACAGGTTGTACAATATGTGACAACAACAGGGGCCAGTGATGAGGGCCAGCAGCTGGAGAGCAACAAACTGTGTTAAAGGTAAATAACTGTGTGAAGGATATGTGTAAAACATCTATGATGCAGGGTTTATTATGGGGGGGAGTGTAGCAGTCCCTCATTCTTTGGTGCTTGCTGTCATTTCCCGTTTCCTAATTTGTTTCAACTGGATGTCACAATTCCCCTGAGCTGATTGAAGGGTTATTCAGATCACCTGTTGTGCAGGGTGTGGGGACTGACTCCTAAATAAGAAATGAGAGCAGCTTGGTGCATTTCTCCTCTGGGCCAATCAGGGTGTGACAACGCCCTTTCTTTAGGGTTTAAGAGAGGTGAGGAAATGCACACTCAGGACTTTATGATCCTTCCTCGGCCTAATGCAGACCTCATGGTAGCAGATATTGTCAGACAGAAACTCTCGTGTCTTGGCCCTTTTCAGACTTCTTTGCTGTCTTTTGATTTTCTGGTTGAGGGTGATTTTGAGTTTTCTGAAACCTCTGTGGAGGAAATATTAGAGACCACCTTTCCACTAGTCTGCCTGCATCAGGGCAGATCTTAGTGCTATTCATGCCAGAGTTTACTTGCTGAACATATTCCCAACAGTTTGTTCATTGGTTTATTTTATCATTAATGGGGCATTTTGTCACTGTGAAGGCATTTGTGATATTTGTTTCTCCATCTAAATAGTTTTTGTATTATGTGGTAGGGAACTGGTTCTCAGGCTTCTTCTTGATCACCTGAAATCTGGGGAATCAGTCCTGCCACAAATATTCACTCCCAACCAAAACCAACTGAATGCAGGAGTGTAGCCAGGATTGATAAGAGTATCAAGTCCTAATCCCCCCTGGTGCAACCCCATCACCCTAAAGAAAGTTCTGACTTTGCCCATCACAAAGAGACAGGGCTTAGCTAAGGGTCAGTTATAAGTAAGTCCCCTCTAAGCTTACAATGGCTACGGTTACATGATAGCTTCTCATTCGGAATGAAATAAATCTGAATGAAATCATTCGGAATTAAAGTCTTTCCAGGTAGTTTACATGGGAAATATTCATACCGAATGAGGGTTTACATGGGAGATCAGTTCAATTGCCTTTATTCAGGTCTGCGCAAGGTTTGGGCCAGGGAAGGTTTCTGATTGGATAGGGGGCGGGCGAATGTTACATGTTTACGTTTACTGGAAGAAAACACTGTAGTCCTCGCTCCGGATAACAAGATGTTTGACGATGCCGTTCTTAGTGCCTTTTTCGGGCGTGTTTTGCTTATATTCTTGAAGCAGCAGTACGACAACAACCTTGTTCTGCTAATGCTTCGTCTGTTGAGGAGCAGAAGGGAGGTAGAAGACCGTGCTGTGGCGAATGGAAACCGGTGAGTGCAACAAGTCTGACTGCTCTATCTCAGCCTGTTGCTATGCAGCCCGTTGCTATGCGCGCTATATACGTCATCGCGCCAGAAGGGCAAGGAAACGAGCGTGCGCAGAAAGAATGGAATGAATTTAAAGAGGAATGAGTGTATACATGCACACAAAATTCTTTCATTCGGAATGACAAATGGAATAAACCACCCCCTTTAATCAGATTTAATTTTCAATTGGAATGGCCGTTTTTCAATCAGAATGACGGTTTACATGACCACTTTTAATCGGAATGGCCTTTCATTCCGATTAAAAGTGGAATTAAACTGTGCATGTAAACGTACTGACTGACATGGTTGAGGACCCTAGAAAATAACCACAGTATTTTAATCAATGTTGAGTTGGAAATCTGGAAATGATGATAGAAACACATGGTTTGAAAATGCATGCTCATAAAGATTTTTATTTCAAATTATACATGAAAAGGAGTTGCTGTAGACAGAGTCGCCTGAGCAATGGAGCAAGCTGAGCAGCTGCACCCCCACTATTACACTTGGGGGAGCAGAGGTGTGTTTTTGCATCCCTACTTTTTGATCAAGAATCTTTGCTTTCTTTAAACATTCAAGCTAGTTTGGATAAGTGGATGCAGTATGAATTAAAAACTACATTTCCCATCCTAACCAAAGCTGTTTTCTCATATGAACTCAGACTATGTTTAAAGATTCAGATCTGGATGTGACCCTTCACACATGTGACACACGACAGGAGATTTTCTGTGACAGACGCATTCTCACCATGGATGTATAGAGACCTGGATACAGTATTGGTGGTGGAGCCCCATTCATTCCTTTTAATGTTATAAATGAAGCCAAAGATGTTCGACTTCCATGCGTAAAATAACCTGGAGCTTCTGTATCACTGGGCCCACAGAGCAGGTGTGTTGTGCTAGGTACCCTCCTGCGTCTGTTTTAGATGTTCACGTACAGCATGTTGATTGTTTCTTTCACAAGATACACCTCTGTTTTTACAGGAAATGCAGTTTCTGCTCTCTAAATGCATACTTTGAAAAAAAAGTACTTACAACATAGGTAAAATACTTAGTCCTTAGTTTGATTTCCTTCGACTTAGGCAACAAACACACATGGTTAGATTAAGAAAAAAACATGATGGGTTGTCTTAAAATTCACATGTGAAACAAACAGCGGCCTCTTTGGTGACAGTCTGCAGTTTGAAGTTAACATGAGCAGAAGTCTTGCTGAAACTCAGATGAGCTATTAAAATCCAGGTGTTTCTAATGAAATGCATCATTAAAGTGAATAGGTGCCACATTCACATTTTAAGAGGATACTTCTACAAACAAAAGACACAAAGGAGGACTAAGTAAATCATGCCTACGTGTGTGACTCAGCAGAGATAACATTAAATGAGAAGCTAATCTGCAAGAGAGTAAATATTTGCAAGCAAATCAGAATGTGTGAGAGCCCCACTGCATTACACTACATGATGTTTTGAAATTTTGAATTGTCACCTCTCACCTGAATTTTGTGTTTTTCTTTAAGGAAATTACAACTCACTTTAAATGAAACTTCTGCATGACGAAAGCAGGCTGCCAGACGTCAAGGCCCGATTATTGGCTGCAAGTAACACTCACTGTGGCATGCTGGGGGTCATTTAAACAACAGCACAGCTTGAGTTCATCAGTGGCTTTGAACACCACCGTTGCCACAAAACACAAAGGAGCTCTACTCCTCTCATCCCTCTTCTTAGCGGCAGGATGTTAGCTTTCATTGTCCCTTTATTTCCTTTATGTATCCATGTGTCTGTTTTTACCATAGACTGTCTTAAAAGATGGACTATGTGTCTCCACTCCCTCCATACAAAAAAAGTCAAAATATCATGGATACGTCCATTGCCATTTCATGTTGGTGATATCAGATACCAGAGTCTGCGCAGTGGCACTCTCCACAGAGTTGTCAATCATGATGTCAAACCACTTTTGAGCACCACACTTGAACATTATAAGAGTTACCTAAAATAACAGATGGTTTTGGGTAAAAATTCATTTGGCATGCACTTTGATTTTTTTAGTTTGGCCCATGTCTCATCTGCTAAACATTGAGGCAGCGGGGTTTATAACCTATACTGCATCCAGCCACCAGGGGGTGATCACTTCTGGGGAGCTGTCATGTTCATCTTTATTGTACAGTGTTACATGTTTTTTACTGACAGTCGCTGACTGAATTTAAGGTGTTACATCTGTTAAAGGGAAAGTTTGCTGATTTCAAACCAGCTTGGTGATCACAGTGTAGGAAGTATGCGCAGCGGGGAACTCCAAGTGTTTGGCTCTCCATTGTGCTATAAGCGCTGGAAGGTTGTTTGCTGCCGGAGGTCCACCGAACTTTTGCTTGCACACACTGCGATGACACAGAGCTGGTTGAAAATCAGCAAAGCTTCTCTTTAACTACCCATGTTGCTATTTTCCAACCTACTGTATTTTCCACACTATGAATTTCATGGACCTTCAGTGACTGGACCGCCCCCCAACTCCCCGCTGGATCAACAAACATTCTGGGGGGAAATAATTCAGAGGGGCCGCAGGTATATCGCACAGAGGGCTGGCTAGCAGTAGGCTGGCAGCCAGTCATCAGGCCTTGATATCTAGGTCCTTACTTTCGTCATGCGGAAGTGGGCGTGGTTTCACCTCACTTTCGTCATGCGGAAGTAGGCGTGGTTTCATGCAAAGTGGCTTGGTAAAATAATAGATATAGAGAGGAGCCCCAGACCCTCCGCTCCTCCACTTTTAACTATAATTTGGTGCCCATGGTTGTAGAGATCATGTAGTAATGTGATCTCTTGCCTTGTTAGTGCTGATTGCTTTCTCTGATCGGGACATCATGGAGTGGTGAGAGGAGATGGTAAATCGTGGGACGTCTGCCACTGTAATGAAAGACACATTTGGGACAGAACACAAACAAAGAACATGACAGTTTATGAGAGGCCCTTTGAGACATAATTCATACTTGGTTTCACATGTAACATCATACTCTCATACATATACACCACTATACTCTCACACAAGCACAAGTATGATTGTGCATGTAAGAGGGAATAGTAGTGTTTGTGTAAGAGTATGGTGGTGTATGTATGAGAGTATGATGTTACATGTGAAACCAAGTATGAATTATGTCTCAAAGGGCCTCTCATAACAGTTTGCTTTAGATGCATTAACACGGTAAGTAATTGCTATGACGTGAACTAGTGCTGACCCTAATGTTTTACACTCACTTCTGTGAATCAGGACATGTCCTGTATGATCGGCAGCTTTTCGATCTCCTGCTGTCTCCTACTCCTGCTCATCCCTGCTCCCTGCGGAGCACCTTGGTCTGCAGCCAACATTAGATCGGCGTCAGCTTGGACTGCAGAGCGGGGAAGAGGCTGAGATACCAGGAGATGAGAGATATCTGAGGACAAGCAGACAACAACTGTGACATTTCAGAGACAGGATGATATACAGTATGGTTGTATGTGATGTCTTGGTCCTGTCTGACTCCACACCTTCCAGACTGAGGAGGAAGAAGGCATTGTCTCCTTTGATGAAGTTTCTGCTCTTTAGGCTGCTGTGGTTGATGAATTGTTATTTTTTCTAGCCTGGGCCTCGATAGTAAAAGCTGCCATTAGACTCATTTACTCGAGACCCCACCTTCTTGGGATTATCCCAGAAGTACTCAGTGCCTGTGGAGAAAGAGGTGAGCTGTGATTCTCTTTTTGACCAACAAAGCAACAATAAGGGGCGAATCAGGCTTGTACTACAAGTTATCCCTCCTTCTCTTACCATTAGAGGACTTCATGTTGGGGTCAGTGGTGAACATGCGGTGCATGTTCATTTGCTGTCTGATGTCAGACTTCTGATCCATCAGGGTGATGGTTGCCTGTCGCCATGGACATGGCCACTTGAGTTTGTGATCATTAGGGCCTGAGGTCAGGCGGAAGAAGATGGCCAAGTACTCTGAACGGTTGCTTTTCCTGTTCATGTACACACTGACCTGTGGATCACAAAGCAGTATGAAGCAATCCCGTCAGCTATTGTTCTGATGACAAATTTAGCCTCTAGGGGCAAGCCAGTATTTCAGGGGATCTGTTTTAGCCCATGGATATCCACTTAAATGATATCCAGACCGGGACTTTCTCTTTTGTGCACTGGTTATTGCTTACAGTTCGATTAGTAACATGAGACTCAAGATTGGAGATGGATGGACATTTATACTAATTTGTAGAAATAGATACCTGCATACGAATGTGGATAAATAAAAGAAAAGATAACAAAGCTAAATTGTTGTGGGACAATAGCTGATGGATTCCAAGACTGCATACAACCGAACATGCACGGACTGGCTTTTGGGAGGTTCTAGAATTTTCCCAGTGGACCTGTCTAGTGAGGGCCAACCCTGGCATTATATACCCTGTGTTAACAACTTTTTTTTTTAAAAAAAACAGACATGGTCACACTTGTACCCAGCAAATACGGACGGACCTGGACGTGTCTGAGAGAGCACGATTGGGTTGTGATCACGTCAAATCACAACTAGTCCGATCAGGCACAGAATATGACCCTATCATAACCAATTACTTGCGCACAGACAGACCAGTACAAGTCCGAGAGAGCCCAGTGGGGTCGTGATCGAGTCATATCGTGACCGGTCACATCAGAGACTATCACCCTATCTCTATTATATATGTATTAATTAATGTATTTATTTATTCATGTGATTTAGTGAAGGGTACAAAAACTTTTTAGATTGCGACCGAGCTTTGAGTCTTCTTGCCGATTAGTGAAGAAAGTGGGCCAGACCACAGCTGAATAGAGGGAATCGCCATGTTGTTTACAAATACTTCCAGGTAGAAAACCAGCAGAGATTAGCTATATTAGGCTGACCAAACGTCCTCTTTTGCCCGGACATGTCCACTTTTCACATCCCTTCCAGGGTGTCCGGGGAGTTTTTATAAAAATGACGTCAACACGACGTTAACCGGACATCATTTGGCTTGCTTACGCAAACTTTGCCATGTCAAGCTCTCCCTGTCAGCTTGATCTGGGCTACTTGAGTGCATTTATCATGTGTGTCAGTATATTAAATTTTTCAATTCAATTTTATTTATAAAGCCCAACATCACAAATCACAATTTGCCCCAGAGGGCTTTACAGCATACGACATCCCTCTGTCCTTTGGACCCTCGCAGCAAATAAGGAAAAACTCCCCCCAAAAAAACGTTTCAACGGGGAGTGTATGGGTGAACCACAGTTGTAGCATTAACTGATTTGACCACGGAGATGCGAGCGATGGCTGGTTTGACTGCAGCTGTTTTTTTGAACATGCCCTGCAGGCGACTTAGTGGCAGATGACTGAATGAGCGTTCCTGCAACCAAAACCCCCTAAACATGGTCAATACTATTTGGACTACAAACAAGGACTACAAATACCAAATTTCTTCAGCATCGAGAGAATCGGATATGTAAAAGGCATTTACCTGAAAGGTGTAACCTTCTGGTGACAGAAAGCGAGGGCTGTACAGTGGTTTTTCTGCTGACGTGGTGGCAAGCAGGCAGCTGATGTTGCGGACGTGCCAGGTGTGTTGAGGACACTTTGTGGATGACAGGTTAATGTCATCCAGCGAGAAACCTCCATTTGAACTTTTCTTTCCCCTCACGCCCTCAAAAACCACACGGGACTTCTGTGTCATATCCAGATTGATGTTATGCAGTTCCCAGGAGCCCATAACACCTCCTGTAAGGAGAACTGATAGAACAGAGATGAATCACTATGTAAATACCATGGTTGAGGTTGTAGGTGAAATATCTGAGTTTTTGTTTTGATCTGAGCTGATCTATTATATATATATATATATATATATATATATATATATATATTTGTTTTTTGATGTTGACCCTTGCTTTTAATGTTATCAGCCCATTTAATGTCCATTATCAGTTGTCAGGGGCACAGATTTGTGATAGTTTGGCCTGGCATCTTTCAACATGTTTACTGTTAAGCAGCAACCTCTAGTGGCCGGAGAATTATAAAATAAAACAGAAACAAAAAGTAATCCCTTCAAAAGACAATAGCTGTATTCAGAATGGCAGCTCTTTAAACTGTAACAAAATACAGTTACTTTGTATTTTAAGTACATAACACCGTTCTTGTGTTCTGTTTCACCCCAACTCCGGGTGTTTGTGTCCTGTGTGAAACCAACCCATTGTCATTACAATGTCGTCACGTCACGGCTTTGTCAGTCGCCTTTTATGTCTATATATTATTGGCTAGGCGTCCTTATGTGTCTGCTGTTGACATTGTGGGATGCCCAACCAACGCCAGGATGTTAACAAAAGCACACACAGTCAGATTTAGGAAAAACCTGATGGTTTGGCTCTACATTCATACGAGATGCACACACTGGCTTCCTGGGTGAAAGTCTGGGGTGTGTGGGACCCAATCCACCACACCTCCCACCCAACTATGTGGACTTTCCAGCTTCTTTTTGAACATCATTACTGGCAGTGTTTCTGCTATCCACCAGCATATCATATCACTGCGATGGGTATGGTCCTGCTGACCAGCAGTGTATTATAACACCACGAAAGGTTCTATCTGGCTGCATTACACACTGACGCTGCCCAGCGGTGTCTCATACCACCATAAAAGGTGGCTTTTGGCGTCAGGGCTCGTCAAGACTTTGGAATTAGAGCGGAACTGAATTGACATACCCAGTTGAATTCACGTTACATAACGGTCATAACAGTTGTACTTATTCTAACCCAAACCGTGATCTCTTCCTATCCCTGACCATGTAGTTTTAGTGCCTAAACCAAACGAAAGTGAAAGTAGAGAGTAGCTGAGTTCTCAACAGGCCGAAAAAAATTACAACCCAAACTGTACCAACCCATGTGAGCCGAAGCCCCAGCTCAGCCTGTCTGAGATTATCACATAAAATACTGAGCCCAGACTTGACTAAACTGGACCACTAAAAGTCATGCGTGTCTCCAATGGAAAATGGACCAGCTCAGTGGATCACCAACTCTCCACACTGTATTTCCACGCTAGAGAAGCTCCCTGCTCTAAATTAAATAAATAAATACATAAATAAATGTGTGTCTTTTCCACAGCCTGAGTCCTGCCCAACCTGGCCAATCAGCGCACATTTTTAGCCAACCCATTGGGCTCGGCTTGAGATTGAGAACTCCAGCTGTAACTTTTTCACAGCAGTGGATGTGCATGTTCTTACCTTCTGGTAGATGCACTTTACTCTGTCTGGAGCATTTTAATGGTAGTGACAACACCTGATAACGGTCATTTAATGGGCTGATTACATTCTTAAGGGATGTTGTTGAAAAATGAGAGATGGAGGCTTTAATTATAACAACACTGTATAAATCACACAACATGCAATATTTCATTTGTTACCTGAAATTCTCTTGAAGAGCCTCAGTTTACCGCTGGGGTTGGCCTTGTCATACTGTCGCACCTTGATATTGAGAACATCATCAGCTGCCCCGCTGTTATAGAGGAAGAACTGCAGACACTGGGCTCCAGGTTTGGGGTAAAACCAGCGACTCTCCAGTAGAGCACGGGCACCAGATTTAGCAGAGGCTGTGCTGAAGTGCATGAAGTAGCCTTTTCCTGAGGGCAGGAGGAGACAACAGTGAGTAATGTTGGGCCTCATATTACTTTTTATGGGACTAGTCCAACTTTATCATTGTCAGTTTATTTAAGTCTCCTTCAGGTCCCACTGCCTGCACTATGAGGGGCTCAAATTTTGTGGATAGCCTTTACTTGCCTAAACCTAACCTCCATGACTTTACATTAAGCATGTGACTGTATGTTTAGGACGTCGTAACGTCATTAATGGGGCGTTAATTAGTATGATATCATAGGAACCGTTCTATGAGAATGCTTTGTCAGAGTCTGCAGTAGATTGTAAAAGGAACATCCAGGACATTAAAAAAGGTTCAACTCTATAGCATGCATTTGTTATGATTGACTGTCACCTTTGCATTGTCCCATGTTGGAGAAGTCAGTCTGAGGCCCTCCACGAGCACAAGTGAGTCGTTCCCATTTTGCATTGCCGGGACCCTGAATCATCCCACAAATGTTGTCCTCCTCAAAGTCACAGCTGTCCACAAAGGTAGAAGACTTGGCTGTGGAGAGGAAACACTCAGAATTTCACCAAGATGCGTCAGTGCAGTGCTTCATAACTGATGGGGGGATTATGCAGGTACAGAACAAAAGTGCCATCACACAAATATGGTGACATCATCTCACAGCAGAAGTGCACCTGAACCCAAAAGAAAACATGGAACAGAAAAGAGCTGGCAACCCTCAGCAGAAAGACTGTGTGCTGATCTGAGACCTGAAAACATTCTGGATAATAAAGGCTATGGCCACATGATTATTAAATGAGCACTGAGGTCATCTGGTCTGAATTAGAGGTTATTGCCAAAGATTATCAATATATTTTTGCATCACCTCCTGCTAGATAAACTCTAACTCTTGTCTTGTACCTCAGTGGGATTAGAATATTAGAATATTTTATTTTATGAGGTGATTTAGTGTATTGATCGTTCCGACACTCAATGTGCAGGTGATTTTCTCATTAATTGTGTAATGGACACAATGACAGGTTGACATGACTTACTGCAGTTGTAGAGACGGTTGAGCTTGGTAAGGTCACTAGCGCTGATCCCTATCCTCTGACCGATCACATCCATGAACTGGGGGATCTTGGTGACGATGGTGGGCTCAGAGTTCTTGCTGAAGTCATCCTTGCTGTAGTGCATTACAGAGCCGTAGTCATAGGGAACACCAAGAGCACTGGACACTGTGTCATCGTATTTCTTGAAGTTGTGTGTATGATCTAGGGAATGCAGTTTTTGTTTTTAACAAGGACTGATGGAACAACAGTTTTGCAACTGCTCACTACTGTAAAAATGTTTTCAGATAGCAGGCATGCATTAGGAGAAAAACACAGGTGATAATAAACATTTTCATTTATTTTATGAAGTTACAACATAAGGTTTTACTGATCAGTGTTACTAGTTTCGATGTTTCCCCATATGATGTTGACGTAATCATCTCGGTCAGCTCTGGACTGCTCGTGCCAGAAGCCCAGAGCATGCAGAAACTCATGCTCAACGATTCCTAGTGTGTCACACCTTTCACCAATGGACAGCTGCTGCTTCCCCTTACGCTGGTTCCCCACGGAGGAGGAACATCTATACAGAGAGGGAAAGCGAGATGCACTTT